ATCTTTAATTTTCCAACGCAATTTTATTTAGTTTCAGAAAAGTATTTATTATCTCTTCTGAGTGCCTTAAATATCTTCTCAACCATTCTGCATTTGTACTGGGAAGTCTACTGATAATAACACGAAATTGGCTAATGTTAATGGAGCAGTTATCCGTACACTTGGGGATCAGCCACTAAAAGCGCGACTTTAAGAAGCGAGATTTCAAATTTGAAAATCAGCAATTTAAAGAATTATCGTGAAGTTGACTTTTTCGACAGAACCATTAAATAACCCTCACTATCATGGTTTTATTTATCTTTTATGCAGTATAGCTTTGAATATCTATTTAGTCGTTCATTTTTTAAAAGTAGTGTATAAAAGGTTTTTAACGTCAATAATTTACAAAGTGGTTTTGGGATAAATTAAAAGTCATTTACACTGTATTTTCTGTTTCTTTCATCTAGTCTTCAGTAAATCAAACGTACGTTCAGATATTACCGCGACCTACAGCGACAACCGTTCAAGCAGCCAGACCACCTAATTTGACTGTAATAAGACCGTCGAATCAAAGTAAAATTCATGTGGATTCTTCTAATGTAACAACACAAAATACCACTAGTCATCAGGTTGTATCAAACGCATATACTAATTATAACACTGGCAACTCTAATGTTAATATATCGAATCCCTGTGATATATCTCCCGTATCTATTGCCACAAGTCTTCCAAACTACAACATACACCTGGCGGAGACTTCAAATACTATGGTTCATAATGAAACAAATCTTATACATTCATCACAACCTTCATTAACAACGGTTACTGGCAATATCGTTAACACGTCTACAAATTTGTCATCTGTGAAAATTCAAGATGATTTGTGTTTAACCGAATCACAATTAGGTACAGTGCAAAGCTTATTCCAAGATGCGAATCGCGTTACTCGACCTGAAAAAGCAATGATTATATCATTCATCGCTGGTTCAAGAGGTAAAACTTTTAAAAAAACAATACACATCGTATTCAATTTAAGTGTATTCTACAATCAGTGTATGTATTTATTCAGTTTACTCTTGTTTTATGGTGTGTTCGTACGTATGTGTACATCATACTCTTAATGAAGGCGATTTTCTACAGTCATATCACTCATAATGTATATTTCATTAAAAAGATGTTGGATTTAATTCTACTGGTTTTTATATATTTTAATTAGTAAGTAAACACAGTGATCCCATGGTATAGATTCGTTAAGTGATGTAGACAAATTACTTCTTGGTTTTTACCTTTTCGATTTTTGTATTCGCCATAAATTGATCTCAATTGGAGTGTGATTGAAAAGTAGGTAGCACCGATTGAATAAAACGAATGAATCAAATCAATCTTTAATAAACCCTCCAAATCATCTAAAATAGCTTAATTATTGTTGATCAAAAATATGGGTAAAAATGTTAGTGTTAAATTATGTAGTTTGTTGCATATAGATGATAACAGCATCTTAGCCAGTAGGTATATACTTAACAAAATAATCGATATAGTCTATTTTATTTTTCATTGTGAATAAAAAATATCATGAATTTTCACAATTAAACCCACGAAGTAATCTTAGTTAGGCCACCATTGAGAACATGGAAACACCGGACGAGTGTTTCGCTTTAGTATGAGACTCCCCAATAGTGCGCATCCACGATCCCGCACTCGGGAACCGAGCCCAGAATTTCCGATCTCGTACCCGAACGCCTAATCTCTTAAAAATTGACTCGGGTTTCAGTAATGTCCAGGTTTAACTTCAATTAATCCATGATATTACACAACCCTGCATTGATTGGTTGCGGTGGGTCACCGACTGAACTCTACTGGTCATGGCTTCTCATCAGAACTCTAGAAGCTACATCTTAAAACCAGTCACTAGTGAGTACATGATTGTTATTAGTATGGAGGATCTGTGGAGATTGTAGTATTTTCACGCGCGCGAGATCGAAGGTCCTGGGCTCGGTTGCCGCGTGCGGGATCTTGGCTACATACTGTTAAGGAGTTCCATACTTGAGCTAAACGCTTGCCCAATAGTGGTTTACATAAGGTCAATCCGTCATTCCAACTATGAAAGCACTGCAATCTCCACAGACCGTTATACTAATCCATATTTTGTATCAATCCCTTATATTTTTGAGTAGATATTCAGATAAAAAGTGTTCATCTTTTGAAGGGACTTATTTAATTAAATCCTTGTCTTTTCATAATGGTATGAAATTCGTGAATAGAGTTTTATAATGGACTTTTGTGTGTTTATGTAAAATAAATTATTTATGTAGCTGTTTTGAGAATGAATCAGTTATTCCACCAAGGAGATTAAATTGACGAAAACTATCTTTGCAATCATATGAATAAATTTGATTGGATATATATATATATATATATATATATATATATATATATATATGTTTGAAACTTCCAATTAATCAACCTCTTATTTGCATATGTACATCCTGTGCGAATTGCCTCGATAGTGCCGTCAAATCACAAGCATTTTAAGCAGGTGTGTGGGGTCGTGGCTGCGCACTTCCGACGAGCCCCGAACTGGACGAAACGCACGTTCTGTATTTCACTGTTGGCCACCTCTTCTCAATATGGATCATCCAATACATGTTTATTTACTTGACTGTAAGCCACACCGTTTGTATTAAAGCTAATTTTATTACCTAGTTCTAAAAACCGGTGTGAGTAGAAAAAGGTTCAAATTAATAATTTAGTGATTGAAAAGCCATTGCTTTTATCAATAAACCCCCACCATTCCACAAACCTAATAGTTAATCTTCTAAAAATGACTTTCCTGTTGAGATTCTTAATTATTTGTAGTCATGATCGGTTTCTTTCAGAAAATAACCGTTGAATATTATTACTTTTTCTAATTTTTTATTTCCTGTTATAATAAATTTTATAATTTTTTTATTACAAATAAATACATTTCCAGATAATCCACGCCCAGAGACTGGTCAAATAACTCGTATACGTCTTAGTGAACATAGAGAACGTGTTCTTAATCAAAATACTGGTCAACTAATGGATTTAGCTGTGGACACATTTCTAACCATGGATTATTCAACTGGAAAATATGAGAAAATAAAATGTTATCGTAGTGATACACCTGAAAATCTTGTTAATCTACCTTTACATAGCAGTATATAATGATGAAGTATTCTTTTATGGTTTGCTTCTATATGTGTACTTTCACCACTGTCTTCTATTACTTCCATTTCCTCTATCTCCCACTTTTCTATATATACCTGTGTCATGGTATCTCATTTACTATTATTCATCACCCCTCCTCTTCCATAATGTACATCATATGGCGTAACAACAACTATCTTTTTGTCCATCTAATGAGATAAATAGTTATCATACGACACGTTATAATCCTTTTATTTATTTTTGGTTTTTCGAAACTATTTTTTTTAATTAAAATATTACTTTCTCTTGTTTTCTCTCCCATTTATTTAATCTTGACTATTTAGACTGATGTACTGACAATATTTATGCTGATGCGTATTGTGCTAAGCTCAATTAATTTTTACCTTAAAATTTCAATGATAGATTCTCGCTAATTTCCTTTCTATTTGTTTAAACTTAAAGGAGTATCGTTTGTTTTTTCTTATTGTAACGTTTCAATTTATACACATCCTACTACTGCTACCATCACACGTTCATGCTACTGTTAATAATAAGAGTTAAGAATAGTACAGATAAATACACAAATGATAAAGAGAGAGAGCGCGAGTTAAAGTAATAATTAAATAATATTGCACTCCTTCTCTCTCTCTCTCTCTCTCTCTATATATATATATATATATATATATATATATATATATATATATATATATATATATATATATAACTGTTTAATATGTTCGAGTTTTATTTTCTAAATGAAGAACTACTTTTCTAAATGTTGCCATTTTTAGAAAAACATTATTGTGAATTGTACAGCTAATTGATTATATATATAAACTACAGACATGTCCACGAATATTGTAAATAAATACAGATGACGTATATTTTGCGTATTTTTCGTTAAGCTATTTTCTAACTACTTTGAGTGTTGTTTATAAAAATACTTTTATTTTACATTATTTTGTAATATGATGCACAATCATTTCAGTTATATTTAATCATTGAAAATTTTATCCTCTGGAAGAGCTATGAATCCGTTTACACACCGGGAAGTTTCAAACTAGATTAAAACAAATATCTAGTTTTATCTGATTCTGGCTTAAATTTTAACATAATTACATGAAATTAACAAAATGTCAGTAGAAATTAATGATAATAAGTTAGGAACTAGTCAGAAATATTTGTATAATAGTAGTTCCATATGTGAAATAAAATGCTTCTAAAGTAATAACAGATTTTATGATGTTCCATGTAGTTGTACCTCATAAATGTAATATGCGAGTCACATCTATATTAAAATAAATAAGATTAGTTAGCCCTGGACAAATGCTGTGATTCGGATAAAACCATTTTTTAATAAGTTATTTTTATTTAATATTTTCTTGAAAAAGCAATATGATAATGTTGTCTCGTATGTGTTGAGTATCTCAATTTAACATTGTCACGAATCATGCATTGAATTAAGCAATCTCTGTTAACGATAATCATTCACAGTACATGATAATATATCACTATGAATATATACGACAACTACATCGTTATCACTGTCCTTTTTGACTTATCATTGTTCAACATTATTAACAAATTGAAATATGAGTTTACATTTTTGGTTTAATAGTTTTTATAGATAGAAACAGGGTTTTGTTTATTTTATGAGTGAAAGGTAAAAATGGTTCTTGTTAAGGGTTATGGTGTTGAGAGATCTACATTTTTTCTGATAAGTGAGCATTTAAAAAAAGCAGGCTTTTGTTTTCGAAGCGTAACTTCAAACTATAGTTCAGTAAAAATAACGACAATTGTTGTTGAAATAAATTATAAACACGATTATATTCACTTTATAATTTTAGTTGTAAATGGGTTATGTACGTAGTATCTATGAACTCATGTTTATTTATAGGCAATAAATAAACCTAATACAGGGTTTATTGGACCCTTAACACAAGCTGAATATGAACAACTTTATCCTCGAACTGACAAACCTGATCTATTGGCTGAGGTAGCTGCTGAAGAAAACGAATGGATAGAATTTGAACGTCTTGATGAAAAAGAAGCTGTTCAAGCTGGAACTGCAGCTTGGACTCCTTTAACACCACCCTATATCGATTCACATTTCTCCATATGGTCTCTGTCAGAATCTATAAGTGCTAGTCAGCTTTATCTGGGTGGAAAGCTACCTCCACCTCCATCAGCTAGTTGGGCAAAAGTATTACGAAGAGACTATACAGCAGATGATTACGAAGAAGAAATTGATTATATGCGTGCTCGAGCTGAAAATGAGATCAAATATGAAATTGGTGAACTGGCTCCTGTGCGATATGCAATTCACGTTCAGGTAACATTATAATTATTATTTAATTTCTGGATTCCATTGTTTATTATTATGTACTCCTCTATTGTTTTTTCATATAAATATTTTAAACCCACATTCGAACAGCGATTCCATCTTGACGTGGTTACTTATCACAACAACCTAATTAGGTTGAACATGTTTTATGTCTTACATGACATCTTAATCGAGGTATCCACAACACTTATCTTAGACCTAGCGCTGATTACGATTAACCGACTTTTCCTCTTTTAAGTCAATACTGTCAGTTTTTGGGTACTTTATCATTTCAAACCTATTTCCTGTTTCGTAATAAATAGCATTACGAAAGTTTTGAATTCAATGACTGTCATTCCACTGCTACATGTATTTGTTTTTCTTTTTCCTCTCTTGCAGGTTGCTTCAACGTATTCCGAAAGTTTGATGATTTCTTCTTTGGCTGAAGATTATTATTGTATAGCAGGTTATATTGGTTGGTGTGATCTGTCCGATCCAAGTCTTTCCAGTCATGTTCAACAAATGAGTCATGATCCGTTACTTGTTGGTTTACGTTATGATGTTAGTGAAATGGATGGTGATTATCTGTTAGAGTCAATGGTAAGCGTATTTTTAAATTTCAGTTGATAAATAAATATTATGTTACACTGTATTTCGCTTACAAGTAGTTAGATTTACTGCGATAACTCAGCTGATGTAGAATAATATCGCAAGACTAACTAGGTATATTTATGTCTCAAAATACATAATACTAACTGCTTCTACAACAACTAATAATTATCATAGTTTCAATCACGAACTTAGGTGGACTACTGTCTCACACCCGACATTTTTTAGTTTAGTTTTGTTCTCCGAGCTGGATGATTTGGTTGTGGAGCTTTCGTCATTCTTCTGAAGGGCATCATCAACACAAACTTCAAGTAGAGATGAAGTGTTCGAATTTCTCCACATATGACTCACAGCTTGTCCTGTAGACTTCAATCTTGATTGGTTATTGTTGACCTATAACCTGTCATTGTTTGTTTTATTTTGATTGTATCCCCCATTGATTCGATTTTTGGTCCTATATCTATCCATAAATTTTCTGATTGGTTGAATCGATTTCAATGTGTTCGTTGATTGCTGATTGACCTGAGTGCCAAGCTTCTAAAAATTCTGTGGTGTTTTTAGAATTGCCTCTACCCAAGATCTCAACATTTTCCCAGTAGAATGTGTCCACAGTTGTCCACATGCGTTTATATCAGTGAGGATATGTCATGGTGTTTGACCGCTAATTGATGTTCATGCAGGTCAAGGTGAAGAGGGCGTCCGCTTTGTCCAATGTAGTGTTTTTCTCAGTTGGAACAATTTATTTTGTAGTTGTTGCTCGATATTTCTTCTTTTATCATTCCATCCTTTAGTTTACATAGGATTTATTGGAGTGATTTTGTTGGTATGTGTGCTACACCTATTACAAAAGGCTTCAACAATCTTGTTGTAATTTCTGGTATACCTTTTATATATGATAGGATGATCCATTTGTTGGTTTCTGTACTTGGTTTTTTTTCTGCTGATCCGTTAGGTTGATATTTTTTTATGAGGCTGATTGGGTAGCCGTTCTTTTGAAAGATAGTCTTTAGATATTTTTCTCCATTTTTTCCCTCTGCAAGTGTGTTACAGTGTATCCTCACCCTCTTGAATAAAGTTTATACTCAGTTGATTTTGTGAGTTCTTGGGTTGTTACTACTGTAACTGAGAATTTTATCTGTGTGGGTCGACGTCTGATATACTTGACTCTCCAGTTTTCCTGTGTCGGTTCTGGTGATTAATACATCTAAAAATGATAGTGTTGTTTGACCCCACCAAAATCATCCGCCTGAGCCACAAATCTATCCCATCTCACACTCGACATTATTATGCTCCATTGATCACGGCTCCCCACTAAGTCTCCCGGAGCTTCATCTTGTAGCCATTCACTTTATTATTATTATTATCAGAATAGGCGAATTTGTGGAGATTGTTGAATTTTCATCCACAGCAGGAAATGGATCAGGGTTGCGCAATATCATAGATTGAAGTTAAATACTAAAAATGTTGGATGCCTGCGCAGTGGTTTAGGGGTTAAGCGTTTACGCGCGAAACTGAAGTTCCTGGATTCGGTTACTGGGTGCAGTATCGTGGATTCGTATTTCTGAGGCCGTTCAGTACTTCCATGTTTTGAATGGTGACCTAATATATATATATATATATATATATATATATATATATATATATATATATATATATATATATATATATATATATATAAACTATAAAAATTCTGAAGTCGCTACAAATCCCACTATTTTAAAAATAATGCTTATTTTGTAATAAATTCACATTCGATATAATGTACTCATCAATAACATCAGTTGAGTGTCAATTCATACAATCACCAACATAATCGGTTCATTGTGTTCAAATGGTATATCGACCAATAAAACAACAGGTAATCTATTGTTATCCAATGAAATACAAGGAAGGGAATCAAAATTAGTTACTCGTAAGTAATATATTTATTATACACAAATTTCACTAGTTGAATGTCGCTCTCCTAAATGCTCGAATATCTAAACATTAAGTGGTTTGAAATTTCTGAAATAGTTTTCTTTGTATGTTGGATATTGATTATCATTTGATCGGATAACTCTAATTCTTTAGGATTTATTACGTAGATCTTCATTTCTGTCAGGGGTGTTGATGTTGAGTCACCGTCTCCATTTCTTCACTACATCATATATGTGTATAACGATGTTTTTATTTCAGTAGTTAGTAAGGGGTTTTCTGCATAATTACAAGTGGATACTTAAAGCTTATTTGTAAAAATTTTTTATTGTATTTGGAAATCCTAATATTTTATGCTCGTAGTAAAGATAGTGTTGACTGGCGGAACACTGCACTGCTTCATTGGCTGTGTCTTATTATAAATAATACTTTTGAGAACAGTAAATAAACTACTGTATATGTCAGAAGGGGTTTCGTGGAGATTTCTAGAAACTTCCCTGGTTGAAAGCATGAGTCAATTGAAGCTAGATCACCGTGGAAAACTTGGAAGCACTGGACGGCCGTCTCGTCCTAGTATGAGATTCCTCAGCAGTGCGCATCCACGATCCTGCTCCCCTTGAGATCCGAACCCAGAACCTATCAGTCTCGCGCCAAGCGCTTAACCAACTAGAACACTGAGCCGGCATCCAACGGTGTTAACTTCTAACTTCAACCAATCCACGAAGTTGCGCCATCCTACACCATTGCCTTCAGTGAGCTGATTATGTCATAAATCACAATTTACTTGTTAAATAATATTTACTTAAAAATCTTTGATTATTTTTAAGTGTTTATTTATTTATTTTTAATTTTTCTTCCTCATTCATAAAGTTTTTCATAGAGTTAACATTATAGTTTGAAAAGTTTTCTTTAGGCAATAAATGATATAAGTTCAAAAAAAGAAAGAAAAAAGAAACATTGTTGTGTCAAAAATAGTTATTTTTAAATTTATTTTTAGAAAAGATATGTCAATATTAAAATAATAAATAACATGTTAAAACATTCGTTTCATTTAAACTCATGATTTCAACTAGTGAAATTTCTAAAATCTCCACAAAATCCCTTCTGATAATAATCATCTGCTCACTAGTGACTGACTTCAAGAGGTATATCCTGGAGTTCTAGTAAGAAGTCTTTAGCAGTGGAGTTCAACCAGTTCTGTTGTGAGATACCAGCCCACTGAAGACAATGGTTTATGGTGGCGCAACTTCGTGGATTGGTTGAAGTTAGAAGTTAACACCGTTGGATGCCGGCTCAGTGTTCTAGTTGGTTAAGCGCTTGGCGCGAGACTGATAGGTTCTGGGTTCGGATCTCAAGGGGAGCAGGATCGTGGATGCGCACTGCCGAGGAATCTCATACTAGGACGAGACGGCCGTCCAGTGCTTCCAAGTTTTCCATGGTGATCTAGCTTCAATTGACTCATGCTTTCAACCAGTGAAATATTGTATATGTTTATATTGACATGTTGTGATCAGTACTTTTTTAAAAGTCGTTTTTACTCAATAAGTATATTGTCCAGTGGTTGTTACTTCAAATCAAGTAGTTTTGACATTAATAGTTGTTTTACCAATCAGACGATTGAGTACCATTCCAAACAATAATATCAATTCTATTTTTATTTCCTAAAAGAAATTTATATTTTAATGAATAGAATAACATCCTCTTTTCATTATTGTATCAGTAATCAGTCGAATAAAGTATCAAACAAGTTAAACTGGTCATGAATTTGTCCAACAATAATATAAACACAATGGTGTATACAAGCCTCCATTTTTCCTGATCTTCATAACTTTGCTTTCACAAACTTATAATTCAATGACCAGTTAGTTTGTAGTCCAATATGTTTCTTATCCTCTTTCGGTTGAAATAATTATCTTATCTTCGGTGGAAAGTTTGTCAATTAAATTGACTTCAAAGAGTTGAAATACCTATTATTTAGATCGATGGTTTATAGATGTTTTATTCGACTCAAAGGTACTATGCTTACTGGATGTTATGTTCTGTATAATTGTTGATACTAAATGGGATCTAACGTGACTGAGTAGATCGGACGGCTTATACTCAACAACATTTCAATGATGACAACCACACGTGAATGAGAAGACAGACAGAGAGAGAGAGAGAGAGAGAAAAAAAAAGGAACTTGCACTAGAGTTTTCATATCTCGAAAAGTGACAATTATATGAGTAGACATTACAGTCTATGTAGTATGTTACAAAACAAGAAATACCCGTTAAAATAGGTATGAGTAACATAGCGTTGCTACATTACTAAAACAATGCTTAATCAATATCTGAATGCTTACAATAATATTTCTGATCTGCAACACCAGCGAGTCACCATAACAATAAAGTGTAAAAAGCTATATATTAGTTGTCCTTTTAGCAACTCCGATTTTCTACAATATTACTAATGCAGATCATTCGTAAAATTTCAAGAATTTAATCTTATGTGGGTTCGTGGATGTTTCGGGTCAGTTACTGACTCTATCTCTCTGTCCAAAGACAGAAATTACATGGTATGAATTTCAATTCATACAAATGTCAGTCTACAGTCCAGCCCCACCTACATCGGTTATTATTATTATTTTTTATTTGAACACATAAATATTGGTACAAGGTGGCACCAAATACATATAAACCACACAAATCTCATTTGATTTGTGCGAGGGCTGTGATACTGCTCGGGTGCCCAGACCTAAGCAGGTGGTTTTCTTAGGGGGCCACACCCCGAGCCTTCGACCTAAAGGTCTGGTCCACAAGGCAGTGGAGCATCGAAAGGAGATGCAGTCCCATGGTAGCCGGTGACCAACGATTGGTTCATACGCCATTTGTTCCCTCAGGCAGGATACTGGAGCCCATGTGCACCATTGGTTCGGAATCAGGGTTTTCCAACTCCCCTAGGTGGACTCTCCGTGTCATCAACCCAGTTCAAGCGTCGGATATTCGCTTTTCGTCCTCTCAATTTGGTGAACAACACCCCCATCACGAGAAGGCAGTTAGTAGGACTTCCCTAGCAGAGGCTATATACGCGTGGCCATGTGAGAGCATTTGGAGAGGGTGAGCGGTCTCTCCCCACTCTCGGTCGTACCATGGCATTCGGGGGCATCGGGTCTGGCAACCTTGGGCAGTAAACATCATAAGTTCTCTCATATGAAATAAAATGTAGCTTAAACCTAAGAATATGTATTTATACTCTAACTAAATTAGTTGCATGAAGTTTGTTTAGGAAACAGTTAGATTAAACTAATCATCAATTCAATTCATTTGATAGTGAATAAATGTTAAATTTGACAAAATTACAACTCTCAATATACACACACTCATACTTTCTAACCATGAGCTACCTTAAACCAATCACATTGTAGTTCTATAGTTCTTGCATATATGGTTTATTACATTGGTTTTTTTAATAAGTAATAAAACGATTAAAATTTCTATTTGTTTTTTTGGTTTTAGATCGATAGTAATTTCTCAGTAATTGAACATCAACAACTTGTATTCGATTTAGCTATTGGACCACATCAATTAAGACATGCATGTCATTTAGCTTATCGTCATCCTAAATTAAAATTAGTACTTAATCATTGTGGTTTACCTGTAGAGTTTACTGCAAGCAGATCAGGTGAGTTGTGTAAATAAATGAATTGTAAAACTTAGATTGTGTTAGATATTAAAACATTTTAAAAATATTTTATGCTAAGTTTTTCAACACAGATATTTTGTGAATATAATTGAAAGTTATACCTTCTTTGTACAAACAAATAAATGTTTTAAAGAAAAAAATGTTAATTTAGATTTTCTGTTTTGTTTATCATTTATTTATACTATTGTGACTACGTATTAGTTATTATGATATGTTATGAGTGTTATCATAACATGTGTCTTTTTATATTTACAATGCTGGATGAAATAAGTCGAATTAAAAGTTTTCACTATTTACCGTTAAATAATTGTCAATCACGTTATCCTGTTGCCCATCTCATTAAGAAATAATCCACCAATTTCGTTACTGTATTGGTTCTCGTGATAATTGGTTAACCATACAGATTGACGCTCTCTCAAATCTTCAATAAGTACAACAAAAGGTTAGATGAGTAGTCGAAAGTAAATTATACAATTCAGACATCTAACTCGTGATTATATGAATGAAAAATCATAGAGTGCCAAATTCATATACATCTCATTACTTACATTTCTAAAACATTTTGTATTTGAAATCGATTAATATATTTTTAGTTAATTGACTTGCAATTTATAAACAGTAAATGATCACTCATACAGTTAGCACTGTAATGCCGTAAATTAACTGTTTAGTAAATACTAAGTATCTACATATAAACTATCAATTACTCTGAAATATTATGGGAGTAGGTAGGACAAAAGAGAGCAACTGTCAAGCCAGTATGTTCACTCAGTCCTTAAACCCATCCACTTTTAGACAGTCGTGCCGTATAATTTAATCTCAATGGTCCCAGTTTGACAGTTGATAGTTGTCTGTGGTTACAGAACTAAGTTGATATTGCTCAAAATTAGATCCATTAGTCTTGACGTACTCATTCTCTATCAGCTTTAATAATTCAAATTTTACTATGTTGTGTGCTTAACTTACTATTATATATATATATATATATATATATATATATATATATAAATTTATTAGATGTCGGTGTTCTGAACAGTTATCTTTGATTTTTTTAAATAATAGAACGTTGGTTGACGTTTTTCTATTTGCGTTTTGCCTCAATATAATAATTGGCGCATATTTCCCCAATCCCTAATACTTGATTTGTATCCACTCGATTGTCTTCTTACTCATACAAGATAATTTAGCTTGGAAAAACTGGCGCTCAGATTTGGAACTACTCAGTCGATATCCAAATGTTTATTGCAAAGTGACTGGTGCTACTGGTTGTATACAAAAGTCTTCAGAATCATCTAACGATACATCCGATGTTTACAGTATCGATCATTGGTGTGCCAGTTCAGCTTTATCTCATGCAATCAGTTGTTTTGGACCAGGTCGTTGTTTATTTGGCTCCGGTTGGCCAATATGTCGGTTATTCCAACCAAATCAAACAGGTTGGCCTGAACAAGCCACAGCTAGTGATTTACAAACATTTGATATACCTGGTGAAATAGCCGCTAAACGTGCAAGACGATCAGTTCCATTGAAAGTTCTTAATCTATGGGAGACTGCTAGATTGGTGGAACATGCTATGGGTGATGCTGGTTATGGATCAGTTGAAGATAAAGAAAAAATATTTTCGACAAATGCACAACATGTATATAGTTTATCTATTCGACCATATGGTTCATGTCCGAAACTTAAACATTCTGAATAATATTGAACAATCAATTGTATCATATTATAAATTCTGTACAAAGTATTTAATGTATTATTATCTATACGTATTATCGGTGAATTGGTTTTTATACAATGCAAAATTATTTAGTAATGGATTTTTCTCCATTCTATCTGTGTTGAAGCATTTTTACTGTTATATAAAGCAGATAATTATGCTTTTGTCGGTACTGTTTCATTGTAAATAATGCTTATAAATTGAGCAACCTAACTAAGATTTTTTAACTAAAACCTGGTAAAAACTCTAAAATATCTAACCAGTTTTTGTTATTATAGCTGTTTTCTACATTCTCAAAGAAGGTGAATATCATTAGATGGATGATTAGTGAGAATAAAATGACGTTTAGTCATAAGTATATTCAGTATTATAAATACTGAAATCTTTGGTGTTTTTCTCTTGTAATGATTTGTTCACCTTCTTACCTAGCCTTTATTAGGTATTAAATTATTCATCTCACAGATTAATATTTCCTCTCTTTGTTTGTTTTACCTAATACATAATATTCTCCTTTGTTGTCTGTGATTATATTATTTCACCTTGTCATTTTCATCTCGTCGTGTTAATGTGAGGTGGCAAATTCGGCTAATGCATATTTATGACAAGTCCTACGTTGGTTATAACAAATTTATGAAGTCAAGAATTTCACGATCTGAATGATTTTGGATGAGCTATAAATTTATTAATACTGAGAATCTATGTTAATTTTAAATATGAAAAAGTTTTCGTTCGTACGAAGCTCTGGCTATCTCATTTTGGCTTCCTTGTCTAACCTGAACGTTACGAACGTTGGTTATATATGATACCATTGGAAATTCATTGAAGTACCAAGTAATTACGTTCATAATATATTTATCAATAGAGCTTCAATATGTCAGCGTTTTGTAAATGATTTATAAGAGTATATTATAATTATTAATGACACAAAATCTAGTATTGATTGGTAATGTGTTCGATTTGGATCGAAATATTTATATTATAAAATATCTGTGGGTCCCTGTTTTGAAGTTTTGTATTCCACTATATGATCCAGAATGACAGTCTAATGTTATAGATTGATTCTCTTTTGTGTTTTCCCACATATGGTTAATCCGCTTGCGTGTCACGTAGGTATATTGGTTTGCTGAATAGACGTAATTTCGCGATCATTGTTCTGATATATCTTCATCTGTAACTCGATGCTAACCTTCGAATTTATTTTCGGTGCTTTCGACTTCTCCATGAAGATATCTATGATTGAATCCCATTGACCATATTAATTTGCTTGTTGCCCTATAATGGGTACCAGTAGTTTGCTTTTGGATAATATACTCTTCTACAAATAATGATTTATTGACATTTCATCGTTTTTTACTTCAAAACTACTTATGTAACAAATGCTTGTCGTTGTGGATTTTCTCATTGGTTATTTAGTTACTGTTATGTATGACAAAAACCATATTTAAATTGAGAACTTTCGCATCAACTACCTAACTTAATTATTTCCACTTCACGATCTTATTCTCTTGTGCATCGAACAAATATTTTTTCTGTCTTCCGAACAGAAGTTGAAAAGTTCAGCGAAGGGAGCTCTTTTCAACGAATTTATTATCAAGCTGTACAATCGTATATATATACAACTTATTTACTTGTCAGTTGAATGAATGATCAGAAAATGAACATAAATGTATCAAAGCAACCAATGATTATTGCTTTCTGTCCATTATATTACATAATATAACTCAATATTAATCTTAATGACATAGATACTTCTCGCGAAATACTTATGAAGAACATTCAATGGAGTATATATGTACTTAAAACTTATACAAGACTATAGCAACTATCATATCGATTGTGGTTAATTTTGGTTAGGCCCATTTGTTAACTTACTTAACAGACAATCTCATTTGAAGAATAACAATTTGCAGATTTCTTTGTACAATTATGAACATTAGATCACATGACAGACTAGCTAAAATGTTGATCGATTAAATATCACTCGATGATTCATACTCCTCCCCATGCATATATGTACTCAAATCCTATTATTAGCTTTCGCCATTGTCATGCTGAATGCTTATGCAATTTGACTATGATTTTGCCTATGTAATTGCTCGTGTATACTTATTCGCCTCTCGGCTTCAAATGCGGTTGGTGTGCTAATAGCTTTGTGATGTGCACTATTCGTTGATGAACTGTAATTACCACTTCTCACTGCCTTCTGACTTTAATCACCGTTGAAGTTTATATAATAGCGGTTATTGAGGTGATTGATTAACGAAGCAAAGCCTCTACAAGATATTCGCTTGATTTTGCTCTATATAATGCAAAATAACATTATAGTTTATTCTTTTCAGATTTAAAATCTGTAATAATTACATGAAATTCAGGAAACTATCTACATATATATTTGAATAGTCAGTTACCGAACAGTCCTGTGTTTTGAAATATATTCGGTTAGGATTCAAGCCTTAATCTTGTGATTATATATTTAATTCAAACTCCTTTATTTCAGTATTTTCATTTAAAAAAATCAGTCAAATCGTCATAATAATAAGGCGTAGAAAAGTTAATAGAAAGGATTTTTAAATACTATTAGCCATTAAAATCAAGCCTTAGTTTACTCGTAATATTACCTGAGATATTTTTATGAATAATAAATGAATTGTAATAAACAACAATATAAATGCGTGTTTCTTTATTTGATTCAACTTGATACTGGAATCTAACAATTTCATTTCAATGAATTGAAGTAATATTTTTACCAAGAAATCTGGAATTATTGGATTCTTTCTCATCTAAACGTCATGTGTGCGTATTGTTTATGAATTCTAATACTAAGATCAAACATACTCCTAGCACTCAATGACTTTTCATCTGAAGTCAGTGTATGGCGAAATTCACTTTCATGTTAGATATATGAAGATTTTCTAATTAATCTTTAGTGTCAAGTTGTATAGATCGTTGAATTTCAGTGTGATCATGAACCGGTCGATTTCAGACCACCGCTGAAATCCTGGAAGTACTGAACAACTGTTTCGTTTTAATTTGGAACTCCTCAGCAGTACGAATTAACACCGTTGTATTCTGAGTTAGTGGTATGAATTTTGAGCGTTCGTACGCAAAACCGAATGTCCCGGGTTCGGTTCCAGGGTACAATGCCACGGATAAACACTACTGACGATTCCCGTATCAGGACGAAAAGGCCTTTTAATGCTTCTAGGTTTTAAATGGTGACCTAATATTGATTGGTTCATGAGTTCAATTACATTTCTAATGCATTCGGTATATGGACTAAAGAGAAGCCTAAGATTCATGCTTCATTCTGTTTGCGACTCGTCAGCTAGACATACATGTATCCAAGCGTTAGTGTTCACATTAAGATTGAAACTCTGTATCCTGTGTTTCAGACACAAATGTGATATTTTCTGAGCCTCTGAGCTCAGACAACCATTAACATTTATAAATGTCCATATTACTTTTGTTAACTTTATTTTAAAAATAGTAGTTGTGAGCCACAGAAATGTTAGAATTTGAAAGTATAGGGTTATTTAATCATTATTATCGATGCGAAATGAATCGTCCTGATTGTTTTCCAGATTGTATTGCGATTTCACTAATTAATACATGGACCTATTTAATGGAAACATATTACACTATTTGCTAAGACTTCATTCAAGTTCTAATGTTGTTTTATTAAAGATTTTTTGGCTAGCTTGTTATTATTTTCTCAAATTGTCAATTATCATCAACTGTCGTTTTCATTACATTTAGCTGTATTTCAGTTTATATTTTCAGAATCCATCGTTTTCTCTGATATAAGCTTGGAGGGCTGAGGGAGGAAAATTCTATATCTTTTTTACTGTTGTTCTTACTCCTTTAAAAATTTTGTGCTAATGCATACCTAAAAAATAACTATGTTGTATGAAGAGAATCTGTAGTATTCATTTTTTTTCCATAGTACAGCTAAAGTTATTGACATTTGCAATAATGAGGACTTAGCGAATAAACTAACATGAATTTACAACAGTATTATTGTGTAAAACTAGTAATTACAAGACAAAAATGAATATTCTGTAAATGGATTGAATGAGAGAACACAATTGAGATAGAGATTTTGAAATTTTTACCATGGAATTATTATTGAAAAAATGACATTAAAGTAGCTGTTCAATGTTTTTCCAAAGTAGGATTAAAACCAGTAATTTGATACTTCTAAGTAAGGTACAGTTTTTTTTAACTAATCTAAAATATTTGACAATATAATGAAAACGAATATGTAATGCACGACACTACTTACTTCCATTGAAAGAACAGATATCACGTCAAAGTGGGTCTTTCATCAAATAGATTTGATAATGTTACAGACACTTGTCATCATACACTGGTATTAAAATGAAAAGTCAGTTAGAAGTAGAAAAGAACTTAGTTAAGCCCTATATACTGTTCATAGATTTTAAGAAACTCTGACCTACAAATCCACATGGCGATGAATTTATATTATAAGTTTATACAAGTCAGTGGTACATGTATTAGTTCAACACCTGACATTTGAATGAGTAAACTTAACCCTATTAATTACCTTTTCAGTTATTTAAAGATCTAATATTAATCTGTCACATACCAGTACACTGCTATCCCTAAATGAATGACGGTTCCGTTCCAATTACGAGTTGTATGAATGAGATTACTGCAGTAAAACCCTATATCTAAATGTGCTAATGTATACGTGTTTAATTAATTGGCAATCCTGGTGAGGTCTTGGACGGCCATTTCTGGGACTCCTATACCAATACAAAATAGCGGTTCAGAGCTTCCCCGGTTCTCAGTAATTGTATATCTGGGGCCAAAATTCTGAACCATACATGATTCTGATGACTGTTGTCTTAATTTATGTTAGAAAAACCTTCGAAAATTTCACTTGGATGAACGAAAACTTACCAATGCGATTGATAAATAAAATTATTCATTAAATCTTAAGTAAAAGTAAAACTATCAGGTTTTATAGACAGGTATTACTTATGGTTACGAAAAAACAAAACA